TCACGCCATGGGGGACTTATTGCTACAGGGTAATGCCATTTGGTTTGAAGAACGCTGGGGCAATTTACATGAGGGCCATGACTACCGTGTTTCACGATATGATACACAAAGAGATTGAGGTATACGTAGATGATGTGATCATAAAATCAAAGCGTCAGGCCGACCACGTTGGGGATTTGAGGAAATTCTTCTAGAAGCTTCGCATGTACAACCTCAAGCTTAACCCTGCCAAGTGTGCATTTGGTGTTCCATCCGGAAAGCTGTTGGGATTCATAGTCAGCCGGCGAGGCATCGAATTGGACCCATCAAAGATCAAAGCCATACAAGAATTGCCACCTCCGAGGAACAAGACTGAAGTGATGAGTCTCTTAGGAAGGTTGAACTACATCAACAGGTTTATTGCTCAGCTCACAACAACTTGTGAGCCTATTTTTAAGTTGCTGAAGAAGGATGTTGCGATCAAGTGGACTGATGAGTGTCAAGAAGCATTCGACGAGATAAAGGGGTACTTGTCTAACCCGCCTGTGCTGGTACTACCAGAACTAGGGAGACCTTTGATTCTTTACTTGACTGTCCTGGAAAATTCATTTGGTTGTGTACTGGGCAGATGATGTCACAGGCAGGAAAGAACAGGCCATCTACTACCTTAGCAAGAAGTTCATGGCTTATGAGGTTAAGTACACTCACCTAGAAAAGACATGTTGCGCCCTAACTTGGGTGGCACAGAAATTGAAACATTATTTGTCATCCTACACTACTTACCTCATTTCACGCTTGGATCCATTGAAGTATATCTTTCAAAAGCCTATGCCGACAGGAAGACTTGTGAAGTGGCATATTTAGCTCAAAGAGTTTGACATAATCTATGTGACTCGGACTGCGATGAAAGCCCAAGCATTGGCCGATCATTTGGCCGAGAACCCGATCGATGAAGAGTATAAGCCACTGAGGACTTATTTTCCCAATGAAGAGGTGATGCATATTGATGAGCTAGAGCTGGCTGAAAAACCAGGTTGGAAACTTTTCTTTGATGGGGCTGCTAACATGAAAGGAGTGGGAATAGGAGCCATGGTTATTTCTGAAACAGGGCATCACTATCATGTTACAGCTCAACTTCGTTTTTATTGTACTAACAATATGGCTGAGTACGAAGCATGCTTTTTGGGTTTAAGGCTAGCTGCAGACATGGATGTCCAGGAAGTCTTGGTCTTGGGAGACTCAGATCTTCTGGTACACCAAATTCAAGGAGAATGGGAAACACGAGATTTGAAGCTCATACCATACCGACAATGTTTGCATGATCTTTGTCAACGGTTTCGATCAATGGAGTTTAGGCATATTCCAAGAGTCCATAATGAGGTCACCGATGCTTTGGCTACCCTAGCGTCAATGTTGCACCTTCCGGACAAAGCCTATGTCGATCCTTTGCACATTCAAATCCGAGATCAACATGCTTATTGTAACATGATTGAAGAAGAACTTGATGGTGAACCATGGTTCCACGATATCAAGGAATACATCAGAATGGGGATAGATCCAGTGCAAGCCACGAGGGATCAAAAGAGAACAATTCGACGGTTGGCAAGTGGGTTTTTCTTAAGTCGAGGAGTTTTGTATAAAAGAACTCCAGACCTTGGATTGTTAAGATGCATATATGCTAGACAAGCTACGGCTATCATGTCCGAAGTTCATTTACCTGATAAAGATGATAATATAGAGTAAAAATTTAATGAATAGTACAATTGCTCAAATTTAAATATACGTACAGGTGTAATTTGACTATGTTCACATTTTCTGGTCAACTTTTCAAACAAATGGTGAGTTTTGGCTAATTTTAACCCATTTTAAGAACCTTCTTTTTTTATTTAAAAAATCTCGATACACTATCCTTGATAAATGAAGTGTTATATTAACCGAGGGCGGAGGTCATTGTCAATTATATTTTAATAGGCACCGGCATCTTTTATGAGTTGAGAGCTACGAAAAATCAGTATATCACATAGTACAAACATATCGGTCCAACCCCAATTTTAATGTCCTGGTCTTCTCTTTTTTCCCAATTAGATTTAGAAGAGCGGAGCATCCAAATCACACACTAAAAGAGTGTAGTCTGTAGTCTGCATGCTTGAGTACTAAAACCCTCCTCATTTTGTCCGCTCTTCCTCTTCTTCCTACTACTACGCCCAGACCTGAATGTGACTTAGGAATTTCCCTAAACTCCGGTAAAACGTAAATAGGAGAAAACAAGAAGAACATTTAGTACAAATTCGGTATGCATTCTTTTCTTTTCGTACAATTTTTGCTGAAAATTTCAATGGTAGTGCTTCTTTTGCATTACCCACTTGTTGAAAAGGGTATTTTTGTTTATTTGCATTTTAGAAATTGCTTTATTATGTTTTTTTTTTTTTTTGCGGTGTATTAAATTGGGGTTTGTTGACATATTCCTTGTTGAAAGATTAACCCTGTTCTGTCTTGTTAGGTTCGCGCTGTTTGGTAGCTAAAACTAGGGTTTTGGGTTTTTCCTAGGGTTTGATTCTTGGTTGTGTTTTGCTTTTTTTTTTTTCTGTTGCATGTGGAATCTGCTTAGAATTATTTGTGCAATTATGCTGTTGGTTGGATATAAGCAGTAGAGAATTTTTTTGACATTCTTCTCTTCACCTTTAGGTTTTGATGCATGTTAATCAATTTATGAAATAATGTCACGTCTAAAAGATTAACAAAAAAGTCAATTTATGAATCTGATTTAGAGTTGTCTTACATTGACTATTTTTCTTTAGGTGGAAGTTGAAAATTTACCCAAAATGGTGGTCAGAGTAGATCCTCCTATGTAGCTTTAGCTGCAGTTCTGGGGACCTAGTGATTTTTAAACTTTTCTTTTCAGCTAGGGTGGATAAAAACATGGAGGAAAGTTCGTCATCTAAAGTAGCGGATGGAACTATTAGCGGTATCACGTTCGGTTTGGCGACACCACAGGAAATAGTAAGTACAAGTTTATGCAGTTTTAATGTTATGTTTGTTACAAGGTTCTCAAGAAAAAAGTACCGGCCTTAGTCCATAAATGCTTTTTAAAAAAAAATTAAACTGGTGCATTTAAGGCTTTCTGAAGTAATGTTGATGAATGATTCCTGTAATATTCTTACTTATTTAAAGAAAAAATATTTTGTTATTTTCTCAACTTTTCAAGTAATTGTACTGAATGTTCTTAGTTCAACTATGAAACCAGTTACCCTTACAATTAAGTTTCTGAGTTGGCTAATGTTTTTTTATGCTGTATCGGTTATGAATTCCTAATTTTTCTTGTTTCTGGCAGTGTAAATCCTCTATTAGTGATTGCCCCATTACCCATCCCAGCTTACTTCTCAACCCTTTTCTTGGTCTGCCTCTCGAAGCTGGCAGATGTGAATCCTGTGGTACTGCAGAGCCTGGACAATGTGAAGGTACTATAACATTTTCATCTATTTCACTTCTATTATTTCTTCAAAACATAGAGGTAATGCTAAGGTGCAAGTGGAGTGTAATATGGTATGCGTATGTCGATAAATCAGTGAAGTCGAGAAGTTGACAGGGGCCAAATGCTGGCTTAATGCGTAATTGGAATTATATGCAATTGCTGATCGCCTCTTCTGAAGGGTCAAGTAACCTCAATTTTCCGTTTCAGGTCATTTTGGATACATTGAGTTGCCCATTCCTATTTATCACCCTGACCATGTCAGTGAGTTGAAAAAGATGCTAAGCCTGCTTTGCTTGAAGTGTTTAAAGATGAAAAACAGAAAGGTATTGGATCTTATTAAGTTCTCCATCTTATGATAAAAAAAAAATTATTTTTGTTTCAAAGATCATACATGAGGAAGTTTAACATCAGTAGCATTGAAACTGTTTTTCTTTAGAATTATTTTTGTTGCTGTTAGTCAATATATAAGCAAACATCACAATGTTACTGGTGATATGTCGGACCCTACATTTGGACTTGTTATTTTAACAAACATAATGTGGCCATTTTTGCTAATCTTTCTGGGCCCTTTTTAGATCAATTTTCTTTAATGCTGCCAAATGATGATTTTGTTGAGGTTACTGACTGTCAGATATTAACTCTGGTAGTTCTCAAAATGAAAAAAAAAATCTGATACTAACTCGACAAAGAGTATTATTTAAGCTGAAGCTTATAAATAGCTAAACTATTTTTGGTAGGTTAAGTGGTTGATATCTTCGATTCCCATTGAGTCGAGTTGCTAATTCTGTAATTTGTTGCGAATGTAGTCCAATTTTATAGACCTAAATTGTTCCTTTTCCTCATCTAAGGCTTCGGAAGTTGAATTGACAATTTTCATGGACTTGTACTTGGAAGGTGCTTAGTGCATGAGTTTTGGCTTGTTCTCTGCAGAGATGTAAAATAATTTAAATTTGGTGTGAAAGTGCTCTCTGTGCGATCTTCTAACCTTTATTGGGATAAATACTCAGGTTCAGGTCAAGCATGTTGGTGTTCTTGAACGAATGTTGCCCTCATGTTGTGAGGTGAGTATCTTGCTGCCGTGCAATTATGTTTAGTTGCTAATAAAAAAAATATTGCTGTTGAGTATCGGCATTTATGTGCCTCTAAACTCTTCAGAGTTTCTTATGTGTTGTAAACTCAGTTATTCATATTCTTATATTAAACTAGCAAGGTCAGGTTTTGTTCTTTTCCTTGTCTATGTTTTGATTTGCATGGTTTCCTTTTTTTTTTTTTAAATATATATAATTCCTTTCCTTTTTTCATCGGTTATAAATTGGAAATTCTAAGAACCAACCAACAGCAGCATTGTTATAGATCGACCTGATAGGAATTATTATATGGACTACATAGGCTCTCAATAAGACCCTCTATCACTTGGAGTGTATCACGGTTTTGTGCCCTTTAACTGGGTTTGTAGTGTCATTTATTTGTCATGCTTCATAGAAGTAGTGTGCTTCAACCAACCTTTTTTGCTTGTCCCTCTGCCTCTTAGTTAGTAATACAAGTTTTCATAGGCACCTGCATGGAACAATGATTTTTCTTTGTAAGGGTGACTAAACCCGTGTTGACAGTGATGACTTTTTTAGTTTTTTATTGAGGAAGCTCTTTGAGCTTTCTGTGGAAGAGTCCTTGAAATTCATTTGTTGTATGCCATAAAAAGTAAATGAATCATAGAAAAGTATGTGCAGAGTTGAGATTGCTGTATATGAGATTTTTATATCTGAGTATGATCTAGTTCTTTGACTTCTTTCAACGAGGTAATGAAGTTATCTTGTCGGGGGCACAAAGTGGTGGTCCTTTTCCTGTCTTTCCTTTAACAAAAATGAAAGTCTGATAAAAAAAAAAGAGAATAAAAATGAATGAAGTTTTGAAGAAGAGGCTTTTCTTCCTTATCCCCACCCTTACCCACAGAAGGGGCATAACAGGCAGGAAAAACAAAATAAAAACCAGTGGGGAGGAGGATTGGGCGAAGGGCAGAAAGAAGGTGAGGTGTCTAACACTGTTAACACTTTATTGATGCAATATTTAACTATCAATTGGCATCGTTTCGTTATTTCTTGTATAGTTTTGGTTAGATTAAGTAGATCAATACCCTAAAATTGGAACGTCATATTTAAGCCACATAGTTCAACACGTATAGCGGTATATGAGCAGACATGTACTTATTGTTTTGTGTGGCGAGGAAATCACCATGTTTAGTTCATGACATTTTGATGAAAATCAAACGGGATATTCCTTCTTCTGGAGATTCGTGAATATGATAAACTGATTGAACTGACAATTTCTTGCACGTTCACCTGTCTGCTAAACTGTTCATCGAGTTATGTGCTAATGTCAATTCTATCAATAGTTATTCATAGCAAAAGGAGATAGTTGGTATCTGTTTGTATTTATTGATTTTGTTTACCAGGAGGTTCTTCGAGGAAAAGCTTCAAGTGTTTATCCAAACTGTGTTGTCTTACCGACAACCTGTTAAGAAGAGATTCTCTGTAGGTACTAAAAGAGAAGGAGCTCATGCTTTGTTGCTTAGCCATAGTCCTAAACTGAAAGATACTGAGCACTTTATTTGACTATGGATATTTATAAGCTGGAGTCTGTTTAAATTTGTAGTAATTTTTCTTATTGAATTCATAAGCAGAAGCTGAACTTTACTTCTTGAATAAAGTGACTTATGGATTTAATATATTTGATATGATGTAGGATGTCGTACAAATCTCAATAAACGAGGGTAAAACCTCAGATGGTGCTTCCTATTTGGAACTGAAAGTTCCAAAAAATGCTGCAAATCTTCCGGACTGGAACTTCTTGGAGAAATATGGCTACCGCTACGGTGACGGTTATTCTAGACCTTTGCTTCCTTCTGAGGTTAGCTTCTCAGTCGCTGCAGAATTACCATGCAATTTAACAATTAGGGACTGAAGAAAATCAGCTTATAAAGTGTTAACTTCTGTAATAAGCTGAATTGAATTGGATTAATGTCTTTGTTTGCTTCTTGAGATGCTCGTAAAAGTTAGTATACATTTGGTGCCTCTTGGTCTATCTCTAGTGGTTGACGTATTTGATATTGGTTGCTTTTTCTATGTTGCCCTTCTGATATTGGTTGCTTTTTCTATGTTGTACCTATCATAAAATAAATGTCTGGGAGTTTGCGTTCTGGTTCATCAATTAATTCCATTGAATTGATATTATTTTACATTGCAAAATCAGTATTTTGCTCTGGCTAATAGATATCTTAGTTTAACTTGCTTTCTCTTGTTTTTGTTATCACACACGATTTTAGGTTCTTACAATCCTGAGAAGAATTCATGAAGATACTAGGAAAAAGCTGTCAGCAAAAGGCTATTTCCCACAGGATGGATACATCCTGCAATACTTACCAGTGCCTCCCAACTGTTTGTCTGTGCCTGATATATCTGATGGGAATAATATCATGTCTTCGGTAAGACACATAAATAGAATCTTATATGTTGTTGGTATTCTCTTTTCTACGTCAAGTTGCAAGTTGTCATAATTTTATGTTGCTTTTTCAGGATCATTCTATAACAATGCTCAGGAAGGTACTGAGGCAGATTGACATAATTAAAAGTTCAAGATCTGGTATACCTAATTTTGAGGCTCATGAAGTTGAAGCCAATGATTTACAAGCATCAGTTGTCCAGTATCTCCAGTTTAGGGGGACAGGCAAGGTACTAAGACTGCTTTTATTGTTGGATTTGAACAACGATTCTAATTTCCCCATCTGTTTAACTGTTAGATTGCTTTGTGATTTTATTGGTGAGGCTTCCACTATTACGACACCACTTATTTGGAAGAAGTTTGTTGCATTTGCAATTTCTAACAAATAGTTACCACACCACTTTGTGCTTTGAGTGTTCGACTGTTTCTGTTTGCTGTTCCTTTTTAAATTCCTGAGTATATATTAAGTGTCTGCATCTATGAGACTTGACTAATTTGCATTTCTAAACAAACAGAAAAGTCAATGATGAGTTTCTTCAAATTGCTCTGTTTCATATCTGAAGAAATCATCAAACGTTTTCTGTTTCTCTGTTTGCTTTTATACCTTTGAGAGTTTGTTCACTGTAGCTAGTGGAGTATTTTTGTTACCAAACAATTTAAGAAATATCATGTCCACTCAAAGAAGTTCCTCAGTATACTTTACTGAATATAAATTGTCGGCTCCATGTAACATGGAAGGAAATGATGAGAAAAAATGAAGATGGTTCTGTCTTAAACTGGACAGTGCACTCCAACAGTGTNATTGGTAAATGACATGGCTCGACTGTTTCAGAAGAAGTATCCTTCTGCTGGTAGTAACCCTTCGGAGGAATTTGGGTTGGTTGGAAGCTGTCTGTTCTATGGGTTGGACCCTTATCAGGAGATGATTCATTCGATCTCTAGTAGAGAAGTGATTGTCCGCTCCACAAGGGGATTGACCGAACCTGGGACTTTGTTCAAGAACTTGATGGCCATCCTCCGTGATGTGCTAATTTGCTATGATGGGACTGTTCGGAATGTCTCCAGCAATTCCATTATTCAATTTGAGTATGGAGCTAGTGGTGGGTCAAATTTCCCAAGTGAATTTGGTGCTGGTGATCCTGTTGGAGTGTTGGCTGCAACTGCTATGTCCAATCCCGCATACAAAGCAGTTCTTGATTCCTCTCCGAGCAGCAATTCCTCCTGGGAGATGATGAAGGTAGTGCTTCAAATACAAGTCCTTTTCTGACACTTACTTCTGACCAGCTACTTTATATGCACTCACCTAACTGTGTCCCCCAACCCCTTTTTCTTATTTCAGGAGATACTGCTTTGTGGAGTGAGCTTCAAGAATGATGTTTCTGACCGTCGGGTAATCCTTTATCTGAATGATTGTGGGTGCCGTAGAGGGTGCTGCAGAGAAAAAGCAGCGTACCTCATCAAGAATCATTTGAGTAAAGTATGTCTTAAGGATGCTGCTGATGAGTTCTTGATAGAGTAAGCACCCTAATCTTTCATTTTTTATGCTACCACTTTCTTGTCTTCTAATAGTGTGTGTGTACCTACTATCTGCCCAAAACAAAAGTACACTGTTGAAATCTGACACATGAGGCTTGTGGAACAGGTGCGTCATTGGACTTGAGACCTGAATCTCAATGGGAAAAAAATAAAAATTAGTAGGCTGGCGTTGAAATCTAGTGAGTTTAGGGGGTTGTTAGGTCATTTTGCCAATAATTTATAGAAGTTGAGATTAGAACCATGGAAGTTAGTTTGATGGGGGTAGGGGAAGACAATGATTATACTCCGACCAGATTGTAGCCAACTTAGTCACTGCATCAAAAAACATTTTTCCTGGTCTAATGGAATTGCATTACACTGGTTTCACAGTTAAATATCTATTTCATTAGACGCCTTGGCGAGGTTCTGCAAATTTTCAGTTGAACTTTTGCTGCTATTCTCTGATGCCTGCAGTTGTCTTTTCTTGTTTATAAATTTTTGAACTCCATTTTCTTTTGCTGCCAAGTGGTATTTCTGGTACTACATGAAAGTGAAGAGTTTCTTTCTTATTTTTAAGTTTGGGATATAGTGACAAATGCTCTTGATTAAACTGGAAAATTCGGCATAAGATTTATCCAGAAAGTAGAAAATCGTCATAGAAAACATGATTATCTGCAAATAGCACCCATCATTTATGCTTACTGAAATGTCGAAGGTTCTCAAAAAGTGTGAAAGAACGAAAAGGTTCCTCTAATATGTACAGAAGACTTTTTTCACTCCCTTGAAATCGAAGAGAGCTAATGCAACTGCTGCAAGGTGGCGACAATCTTCAGAATAGGAATGATTTCAAGTACTTTTTCTTCTCATGATAAAGATCTGGCAGTTTTTCCCAAATTATTAGACATGAACAGCTTTTCTGTTCATAAACTATCAAGCACGTTAGTTCCATTATCATCATTTTGAGTCAGTTATTTGTTTTACCTCAATTTTATAGCAGCACTTCTTGCACATATAGTTCATTGCTTTCATTATAAAGATACTCAAGCTTTTACATCTCAAGTGTCATGCTAAAACCTGTTGATTGTTGATAAAATTTAGATTCGAAGTTTGCACTATTGTATCTCAGTTTAACTTATACATATCCAATATACTATAAGATATAGTAGCGACCTCTGTGAAGAGGTAAAAAGAAAATAATCTAATTATTTAAGAGGGTGTTTGGATTGGCTTATTTTACGTGCTAATTGGCTTTTAAGCACTTTTTTAGCATGTGTGGTGTTTGGCAATGGTAAAAAGTGCTTAAAGGCACTTACTTGTAGGCATAAAAAGTATAAAAGTAAGCCAAAAGCCAAAAGTTGGGTATTACCAACTTATGGCTTTTGGCTTTTAGCTTAAAAGCTACTTTTTATAAAACCAATCCAAACACCCTCTTAGTCGGTGATCTTACTGCTTCTTTCTTGTAGATATGGAGGGCAACAAGCAGGATATGAGAATTCTGAAACAGGGACTGGCCTCGTTGGTCATATTACTCTCAACCAGGTTCTACCTAGTTTTCGAACTTACAAGCTTTGGAGTATTTTTTCCGTGAACTATTTCGTCATTGATGCTTCTGTTTGGGTTAACAGGGACAGCTGGAAAATCTGGGAATCAGTGTTCTTGAGGTTCTTGAAAGATGCCAAGAAAATATCAGTTCATTCCAGAGGAGAAAAAAGATTGGCAATCTTTTCAAGAGAATAGTTTTGTCAGCGAGGTCAAACACTATTTTTTTCTTATTGCTTCAATATGACTTACTGATCTTGCTGTTTTATCAATCGGTATGTTGTTAAATTTTTTAAGTTTTTAGCATCACAGACCAGATTCTATATGCACCTTATGATTATGTGGACGGTTTAACTTTAGTGACAGTATGTGATATAAAGACTGTTATATGTGTATGCATCTCTAGAGCGGAAATCTTAGCAGCTCTTTATTCGTTTTACTACTACAGGTCCTATCATCTGTGGAACTGTAAACATGGCATGCACCTTGTTTTCAACTCATCCTATTTACCTGAATATGTTTAAATTCACTTATTGTCCGACTGAGAGACTTGATAGTCATGCATGAGGAATTGTCCGCATGTTGCACCAACTGTTGTACTTTTATGCTTAAATGCTACAAGGTCAATATTAAAGTGATGAAGGACTCTGATCGGTTTAATATTTTTAAAATAGTGTCCTACACCTATGTCAAGCAATTAACTGTGCCTCAATCCGAAACTGCTAGGCTTCAGCTATATGAACCTTTATATGCGTTCTTCTCTCCTTGGGTCCATTTCATCCCGAATCTATTTCTATATGTCAGGCAGATGCGTGGCTCTTCATTCGTGGACTTGAAATGCAATTCATCTCTTTACATATCCTAGAAGACTATTCATCGTTTATGTGGAAATTTCTATAATAAATAAGCTCAGGCCCAAATAATGTTAGGATTGGCTAAATGAATCCTCTGGAACGATTTTGCTCTATTAGGTAATTGTAGTCCAAGTCATTTCAATATTACTTTGCTTATAGTTTTTTCGGCAAATTAGGGGTTCTCTAAAACTAAAGGTTTTTTTAACACTTACTCCTAATCTTGCCACTAAAAAAGCGACTGTTTCATTGAAAGAACCATTTGTAGATAAATTGGCATCAATAACTAGTATCCCTTGCATGAGCTATTGTTAGTATGTATCCATCTTTATGGACCTCATCCTAAGGATGCCTTCTTGCCTTTCTTGTTTCATTAATTTTGTCACAGAAATCAGCCTGCAAGTCTTTGTGCTGCGATTCCTGATCTCTTTTACTCTTCTATCTACCTTGCATCTTTATCAATTCAAGAGATTAATCAACTGCTGTATTGTTATCTTATTACCCATCTTTAGTTATTGCTTTGTGTGCAAAATAAATCCTATGCGCTTACAAAACATTTGCATCATTATGATTTTTTATGTTATGCAGTGCATTTTGTTCGTTTTGCTACAATTCTGGAAGCAAGTGTTTGAACACACCATGCTTGAGGTTCTCTTGGCCAGATGCGAGTGACGATCACTTAGAGAGGGTTTCTCACATTCTTGCTGATATGATATGCCCAATTCTGTTGGATACAGTTATCAAAGGTAGTTTTGGATTAACTGAACATGTTTCACGGTATTTGAGTGTGCGCATGGTCATTTTGAGTATAAATCCAATCCAGTTTTTACATCTAGTGTACTGTTAAATTTTCTCTTTAAATTGAGTTTTGTCATGGAAGGAGAAAAAGGAGAAGGTTGATAGTATAGGTTGGACCAAGGTTCCAAACCTGTTTGTGTTGAACTGGTTTATTAGTTAAAACGGAGAACTGGATAATTGCGCTGGCTTATTAGTATAAATGTGAAGAATGATGGTTGTTTTGTCATGAATAAAGGTAAAAAATTCTCAGGGTCTCTCTATTCTTATTGATGTCATCTTAAGGTGTTACAGTATATCACATTTAAGTACTATACACATATATGCATTTTCTGTTATGGCTTCCTAGGATAACTGCAGTTGCGAAGAATTTCAATTTATTATACCATGGTTTTTCTTGGAAATGAATGCTTGATTCTAACAAGGTACACCCATAATGGACAGGTGATCCAAGGGTTTCAAGTGCAAATATAGTTTGGGTTTCTCCTGACACAATGACTTGGATTAGGAACCCGTCCAAGAGTCAAAGTGGTGAATTAGCTCTGGATATTGTTCTCGAAAAAGAAGCTGTTAAGCAAAGAGGAGATGCATGGAGGATTCTCATGGATTCCTGTCTTCCTTTCATCCATTTGATAGACACTAGGCGCTCCATCCCATATGCAATAAAGCAAGTCCAAGAACTGATTGGAATTTCTTGTGCCTTTGAGCAAGCTGTTAAGGTGCACCATTAAATGCCTTGAATTTCTTTCTATTGTGCGGGTAATGCTCTGTGGGTAGCCACACACGTACCCCAGGGCATTCTCATAAACAAACATCGTGGCCTTCTCACATCACGTCTCTGAAAACAGACCTATTTGTAAAGCCCCTTGTTGACCCTTTTTTTTTGGTTGATAGAGTTGCTTCATTGAAAGGCATCAAGCAGATGCAGTGATTGCAAAAATAGAGATGCTAGATCCATTTACAAGATGTTATGATAGGATCTGGGAGCTAGCCAATAACCAAAAAATATACCTTAAAGAGGCTAGTCTAGAGTGAGGGAGCTCAAAAAATCTAAAAAGACAGTAGAACTATTTACATAGGACTGTTTGGACAAAAAAGACTAAGCAAACATCTGGTCTTCAGCAAGTGGGTTGGAGGTGAGACTCCACCAAAACATCTGAGGTTTCTTTCAGTCTATACACTTGATGAGCCTTGAAACTTGAAAGATATCCTTTCCGGGAGAGATAGGATTTTTGAGTAGTAATTATAAATCTGATCTATCCACAATATCTGTGGACTTCCTGACATGTCTATGGTGATTGGTTCAGCTACAATTTAATCTTAAACATTTTGGTGATCAACTTTTCCTTCCTAAAGTTTATCGACGTCAGTTACTCGAAGTGCTTACAATATGGTTTGTTTTGCAGCGCCTATCGACGTCAGTTACAATGGTCACAAAGGGTGTTCTCAAAGACCACCTAGTTCTGTTGGCTAATAGCATGACTTGCGCAGGAAATCTGATTGGTTTTAATGCTGGTGGAATAAAAGCATTGTCTCGATCATTAAACATGCAGATACCATTTACGGAAGCAACGTTATTTGTAAGCGGCATTAGTTTTCTTCTGTTCTCTACAACATTTTACATTGACTACTTTCCCTGTGAGCTATCTTTTTAATGAGAGTCCTATTTTATTATCTTTCTTAGACCCCAAGAAAATGCTTTGAGAGGGCTGCTGAAAAGTGCCATGTTGATTCTTTGTCAAGCATTGTGGCTTCTTGCTCCTGGGGAAAACATGTGGCAGTTGGTACAGGATCTCCTTTTGAAGTTATCTGGAACACAAAAAATGTACGTCTTTTGCTGTAACATCTTAATAGTTATTTGGTATAAGAATGCGTTATATTGGCTTTTGATTTGATTGGGTCATGCGATTGGTTGATATATGCTCTTCAGATACAGCCATTTCTCTATATTGTTATGTCTCGTTCTTTCATTAATTGGCCGAATGGAGTTATATTAATTTACAGATCATTGCATGCTCTGACGAATCTTTAGCTGTGTGACATCACTTTTCTCTAATTATTGCTCTATTATGTTTGCATCTTATATTTTGGAACACCTGTTTTCCAGTTCTACAGTAATAATTTTTACTTGTTTCAATACAATATAACCTCTATTACTCCAGATACAGAAGTCAAAAATTGAACCCACCATTGCCCCCTCCAACAACAAATAACTCAATTAACACATTCAGTTCTTCTCTTGATAGTCATGCCGATCAAACTAGCACAAATGTTATGTAATGGAGAGAGTATCTGGCTAGAGGTTGACAGTTCAATGTTTTGGTGAACATGTATTCTTTTTTAGGATGATGAAATTTATGCTTTGATGTTTACAGTCGTCCACTATGATCTTTTTGAGATAAGTTCACCATGCGAGAACCAAGAATGTAACCAAGGATGCAAGAAGTGTGTGGTTATTCTTTCCTTTAATGATTGAGTTGTCTAAATGGGTTCATGCCACTGTAAAAACTAAAACTCCAGGAAGAATAATTACGTATGTACTATGTATCCAAGTGTAACCTGTGCACCTTTATCCTAGTTTATCCAATACATGTATGATAACAAATATGTGGAGTAAAAATGGTCTAATACTAACTTATACTTCGTGCCAAAGAAATGCATTTGCTTTTCCTAGATGGCTTGATCTTATGTTTTTATAATGTTAGAAGATTCAAATCACTGAACCATCTTTTCGATAATTATCTGTGACAAACTATGTAACCTCAAGGAAGAGAAGACATAAATAACCTTGAAACTTGTGCAAAAAATGCATGGAGTAGTAGATTAGCGGTGCAATATGATTTTCCCATTCCATGCAAAGGTGGTTTTATTAAGGTAAAAGAACATAAGATGGAAAGGTTGGACAACTATGGAAGCAACTTTTCCCAGGACTTGGAAATTTGAATGCATTTTTTCTTTTTCTTTGTGTAAATATAAAAAATTGGGGACCTATGTGCCTCAAACAACCAGAGAGTTTTGACACTGTTATCTGATCTCTGTCCTTGGCTAAGTTCCATTTTTGTGGTAGCATGTTGTAGTAGACTGGAAGGCTGCTATTTCTTGTGACCTTGAAATGGAAGCAAACACATTCTGTCTTATACCAGAAGTAAAGTAGACACCTCATCGATCAATAAAAATATGAGTGACTCAATGTATTGCATGTATGCTAGCTCATGCATAAGAAACTTATTTTCTCATGTCTGGACAATTCATGTAATAAGATATTTAGTGAAACATGTGAGTGATCCTTTTATTTATCCCTCCCCAAGAGCTCCCCACTTTGCTCCCTTGGGGACTCGAACCCACAACCTTTGTGGTTGGAAGTGGAGGGTGCTTACCACTTGAGCAACCCTCTCTTGTGACATGTGATGATCCTCAAAGAATTAGTTGACTGCTCTATACAGATTATGATGTATTATTTAAACAGTGAAATACTATGTAAAAAATTTAATTCAAATTTGGACAACTGTAAAATCCAGCGCAACGCATTTGACTTTTTTGGTAGACCAGGAGCCATTATGTTGAAATGGTAGTTTTAATTGTTGTATTCTCAGCAGCCATTAATTACAAATTTGTGTTTCAAGCAGGTTGATTACATTTTACTTGGTTAAAGGTTCTGTAGTTGTCATAAATAGCTTTCTTGACCTGTACCATTAAGCTGAATTCTTAACCAGCTACAACTAGCACGTGTATTTTCATCCAACGCATCCAATTTTGGGCGTAGTTTAATGGTCTATGCACTTAAGTTCTTTTGTTTGATAAGCAGCTGAATATCTATTGTCGAAGTTGCACATTTTTTTGGTTTAAGGGCCTTGAGGCTAACATGTGAAAGTCTTTTTTGTGCAAGGTTGAATTGAATATACCGGATGCACATGATGTTTATAGCTTCCTGCACTTGGTGAGGAGCAGCTCTGCTCAAGAAGTAGAAGGTACCAGTTGTCTTGGTGCGGAAGTTGAAGAACTGGAGGTGGAAGACGAAGATATGGGATTATACCTGTCTCCTGATCGGGACTCTGGTTCAGATAAGCCCACTTTTGAAGATAGAGCTGAATTTGATAATGGTATAGAAAATGAAAACTTAGATGAAGGAAAGCTTAGTGGCTCTGCATGGGAAAAGGCATCATCTGAGAATGTCAAATCTGGTGGTAGCTGGGATATGGCTAAAACCCAAAATGGCGCTGAAAAGGCTGTCAATCAGTCAGATTCCTGGTCTTCTTGGGGCAGAAAGGTTGATGACGCTGAGAATAATCCTCGTCAATCTGGGAACGGAGAGCAGCTAGAATCATGGTCTGCCTGGGGAGGAAAGGCTAAGGAAGTAGACAGTAATCCTCAGCAATCCGGGAATACAGCGCAGTCAGGGTCATGGTCAGCATGGGGAAAAAAGGTTGATGAAGCTGGGAATAGCCAGTCTGGGAATGAGGAGCAGTCAGGATCTTTGTCCTCCTGGGGGAAAAAAGTGGAAAAAGATACTGGTTCGTGGGGTAAAAAGGTTGAGGAAATGGAAAGTCATAATCCCCAATCTGGGAAAGATGAGAAGTCAGGATCTTTGTCCTCATGGGGGAAAAAGGTGGAAAAAGATGGTGTTTCTTCTTGGGGGAAAAAAGTGGAAAATGATGGTGTTTCTTCTTGGGGGAAAAAGGTGGAAAAAGATGGTGGTTCCTGGGGTAAAAAGGTTGAGCAAGCAGAAAATCATAGCCACCAGTCTTGGAAGGAAGAGAAGTCAGAATCTTTGTCCTCGTGGGGGAAAAAGGTTGAAAAAGATGGTGTTTCTTCTTGGGGGAAAAAAGGGGAAAACGATGGTGTTTCTTCTTGGGGGAAAAAGGTGGAAAAAGATGGTGGTTCTTCTTGGGGAGAAAAGGTTGAATCTGAGAATACCCCTCGACCATCTGGGAAAGGAGAACAGTCAGGATCTTGGTCCTCATGGGGGAAACAGGTGAAAGAAGATGGTGGGGCTTCTTCGGGGAAAAAGGTGGAGAAAGATGGTGGGTCTTCTTGGGGGAAAAAGGTTGATGAACCCGAGGATAAGCCTCACCAGTCTGGGAATGGGGAGCAGTCAGGATCTTGGTCCTCATGGGGTAAAAAGGTGGAAAAAGATGGTGGTTCTTTGGACGGGCCTAAACAGTCAAATTCTGAGTCATCTTGGGGAAAAACTACTAAAGGTGGTGGATTTGGTTCAGCGGCTGCTGAAGGCAATAGAAGGGTTGACCAGTTAGTTAATGGAGGGAGCTCTAGTATAAGTGGAGATGAACAGTTAAATGAACCAACTCGTGATGACGCTACAAAAGTTGGTGGTTGGAATTCTTCAACAGTTGGTGGTTGGAATTCTCAGAAGGTTGGCATTGAAGAGAATGATAAGCAACCTCAGTGGGGTCAGCGCAGACGTAATACAAGAGGAGATTTTAGGGATAATTCACGAGGTTGGGGCTCTTCTAGTGGTGGAGAGTGGAAGGGCAACCGGCCTGCAAGATCAGCTGATGACTCCAATAGAGGTGGGAATTTTACAGCAACAAGGCAAAGGATGGATATATTCACAGAAGAGGAACAAGACATACTTTCAAATGTTGATCCTATTATGCTGAATATCAGAAGAATAATGCATCAGACAGGGTAAGTTCTATATATCTCTGCATTGACTATATACATTTGTGACAACTGCTACATGATGAAAATGTTAATTCCAGCAGAGAAATTGAGTCTCATTTCCGATTAATTTTTTTTTTTTTTTAAATTTATCACCTTGGTTGGGTAGCTGCTACCACCCACCAGCGCAGGTCAGGATGACTCTGTCCGTCCACCAAGGCTTGGATACATGAGAAGAAATCACCTAGTGTTTTTGCCTCCACTGGGATTTGAACTTGAGACCTCATGGTTCTCGACCCACTCATTGACCACTAGGCTACACCCTTGGGTGCTGTTCCCTCTTATTTTTTCTGCTGAAAACTGGCTGCTATTGGATTTACAAATTGTTTGTAGTCTACCATATCAAGTACTCTGCACCTACTGCTCTCAACAGGAAAAAAAACAAAAAAAAAGGTTCCAAGCACCTATAGACAGGTCACAGATTGAAGAATTTGAACAATTTTTTATTCAATCTGCATATGTTTTCCCCATATTATATTTTGTTAGCAGTTGCCTTACTGTTAATGGAAAACAAGGGATCACAACTACCCTCGGTAGGGTCAAGTGATGAGTTTACAGGAAAAGAAAATGCTGACGGATGTTTTGGATAGAAAGAGAGAAAGGAAAAAGAGAGTGGTGTCATTTTGAGTTTGGATTAGTTTTAGTGAGAGGGAGGATAAAGTCGTGGATAAGGAAAAAGTCAATTTCGTTTCCATCCAATAATGGGGCAAAGCAGATGGAATCAGACATCTTCTGATGGAACTTTTGTTAATGTCGAAAAAGGCCTAGCATTACAAATAGAATTGGTACATATTCAGGATGTCACAAAAAATGACATCCATTATTTGCTCTGCTAGTCAATAATGAAAAGCTAATACTCTTCCCCTTCCTTCTGCTTAAATGGTCTGTTTTCCCCCTTGTAACATTTTCTGGTTACATTTTCTTCGTGAAGGTACAATGATGGCGACCCATTATCTGCTGATGACCAGTCATATATCATTGACACTGTTCTCAATTACCATCCCGATAAAGCTGTCAAGATGGGAGCTGGTCTTGATTATATCACGGTAAGTGACTCTGCCACTATTTTTAAACCTACAGTATTTAAATGATGCTTTTAAGATATTTTACTCTGGACCATATTCTACTCTAGACAGTTAGTACCAAGGTTTAGAGCAACAGTATTTTTTTCTTCTTTACATTGTTCAAAGTGGAGCCTTGGAGCAACGGTCCAACTCTGGACCATATTCTACTCTGGACTGTTATGTTAGGTCACGGGTTTGTGCCGTTGGAATTAGCCACTAATGCTTCTATCAGGTTAGGCTGCCTACATCACTCCCACTTGGGGTGCGTCCTTTACCCTGTGTGAACGCGGGTTACTTTGTGTACCGGATTGCCCTTTTACTTGTTAAAGACAGTTCATTAATTTTACAGAGAAATGTGGGGTTAAAGATGTTAGGAAAGGCAAGAAAAGATATAGTGAAAGGACTATAGAGTTGATAATTAAATTGCTCCCATTGTAATCAAGCTAGTGTGAGCATCGGGGTATAATGGTGTTTTCTACAGCTTTCTTCAAGTTGTACATTAGTATTGATACCTGTGGCGGTCAGCCCATCATATTCCAATTGATCCTATATTATCTAATTTTAAGAGGTGATAGCATTATTTTCAGCCAAGTGGATAATGCTAAGTCATTATGTTGCCATTGTTTGCATTATTTTGCTGCTTTCAGTGCTGGAAGTTGTAACAGTTGGTCTGAAGAAACTGACAACCTTGTGATAGTTTTGCAATTGGACTTAAGTTTTTTCTTGGTCACCGTTAGACTTAGTTTCAGTTAGTCATTACTGCTTGAGTACTGCTTGAGGAATTTTTGAAACTCTCCACTTTGTTGTCATTAGACTTGAGGAATTTTTGACCCTCTCCACTTTTCATGATTGGATAACCTCTCCAATGCAGATTAGAGACAACATAGAAGCATATACTTTGCTTCTTTCTTCTACTCCCCAGGTCAAATGCACCTGGGTCCTACTTGTCGAGTGCTCCCCTGCCCTATATATGTCATTTGCTTCTAGGAGAGCAGTTTATTCCATTATCCGACCAGTTAATTCAATGAAAGGAAATTACAGTGGAAGTGTTTAAATCACATTATCTTCTGCATCTATGCGAACTTTATTTTTATAAGCACCAATACAAATGGCTTTCATTTGTTCCCTTGCGACAACTTGAGAAGGAAGATAATGTCTTCACTTTGGTTTGAATGCGTTCTTGAATAAATGAGGATGGGTGTTAGCTGTTACTCTGTTACAGAACTCACATTGTTGAGCTACTTGTTATCAGGGGCCATGAATTTTGTGTTGGTCTTGTTTCTTGCATAATTTTAGTTGTGTTCTTATGTTACACGCGCTATATTTACAGTGAGCATTGACGACCTTTAGGTTTCAGTTTAACTGGGCTAAGATTTAACCTGTGTAAACAGGTTAGCAAACATACCGAGTTCCAGGACAGTAGATGCTTCTACGTTGTTTCTACTGATGGTGCCAAGCAAGATTTCTCCACCCGGAAATGTCTGGAGAACTTCGTCAGGTCAAAGTATCCTGATAAGGCTGAGACTTTCAATGGCAAGTATTTCAAAAAGCCTCAACCTCGCAACACTAGAAATGCATCTCCATCTCCATCAGTTGGTTGACCTTCTCTTGAGTTCAGATATTTGTACAGTTAACTTAGTTGCTTTGTATAATTGATGGCAAGACAATGAGCTAAAGGAAACGTGCATGTTGGCAAAGTTGGCAGTTAGAAGTTCTTGTGTATATAGTTTAGTCCCTAACTTATAGAATTTTCAGTAAAGTCCTTTTCAAGGCTGTTTGGTAGCTAAAGAGCTGTTAGCCTATTCACCTTTGTAAACCACCAGCACACTAGCATCGATGAATGATTGAAAGCTTTAGCTTTTTCTCTTTATTTCGTTATTCCGTTCCGTGTCTTCTTCCGCATTTTAGTCTCAGTAGTTTTCTTCTTTTCCTTTCGTCTCAATCATGGCATTTGCTGGAGCTAGTAACGAGAATCGTTACACCCTGTAGAAAATTGTGCTGGTAAAATGTGAAGACATGCAGATGAAATTTGTATGCTTCTTTCATCTGACTATAGAAGAAGCAACAACCTGATGTAAATCAAAAAGTTAAACTGTGCAGATTTTATTTTGTTTGAAAACCCCCTAAGTGCAGAAATGTCTTTGAACATATTGTTGTGTTGGAGATATTTCAATGCTAGAGCAGAGACCGTCAATGTTTCTAATATATTGACTGTAAAAATAGAGTTTCCAAATAAAGTTCTCAAAGAAATAGGCGACGTCTTTTACGAGAAGCTGCCAGGTAATATCTGAGTAGTCCTGGAAGTCAGATTGGTTCAATAAATAAGCCAACAGTCGCTGCGTGAGATCGATGCCAGGTCGCCCTCGTAACAAATGGGAATACTATACTACAACAGCTTATTTTGTTAAAAAAGTTTTCGCTAATATGACACTATTATTAGAGTTTTTTTACATAATATTTAGTGGCTTGTTGACTTGCATTTGAGTTTGTACGTCACACTTTAACATTATGAAGTTGTGCTCGATGTATGATCCTATTAGGGAAATCTTTTTTACTATACACCAAATTAATATGGCTATGGGCATAACATGTGAATTTTACGTAGACTTTATCACTTTTTCATTGTCAATTACTCATATGTAATTTTTACATTAATTTATCACTTAATTCAATAAACTAATATAATTCGATACATACATCTCTTAACTCTGAATGCTAGTGAGTTTTTCTATGATATCAGAATAATTAATGTTACAAATCCAATTAAGACTAAACAAAAAACAAATGATGAGTCAGTATACGCATGGACTTCTTTGTTTCTTTTCTCTTCCGGAAAAAAAAGAAGAAAAACACCACTCTGCAAAAAAGGGAGAAATTCAAAAATAACCAGATTTACAAATGGTCATTTATAAATAGTTACAGTTTCAAAAGTAATCGAAATTTAGCCACTTTTCATGTAAAGATAAATCTGAACGAAAACATTGTTCAAAATCCGGAAAAATACTCCAACATAATATACTGAAGTTCCAGTATAATATACCGGTCCAGCATAATATACTGGAGTTTGGAGCATCGATGTATATTATACTGGAGACGACAAAGTATACCGGTCCAACATAATATGCTAGAAGTTCATACACAGGTGCACCGAACTCCAGTATATTATGTTGGACCGGTATACTTTGTCGTCTCCAGTATAATATACATCGATGCTCCAAACTCCAGTATATTATGTTGGACCGGTCTCTATTGCAGCAAAATAGTGGCAATTTTTCATTGACTTGATAAACGCTGACTATTTTTGAATGACCAGTCCGAAAACTGGCTCGAAAAAGTGCTTTTATATAATATGTTAAACGGGAAAAGCATGTGGACCGCTATAAGCAGATATTTCTCGTAAATATTGTATTTTTCAAGTCAGGAGGATATGAACATTAATTTTAGAGGAAGAAGAAGCTCTGCGTAAAAGAGAGAAGGTGGGGAAGCTATGAGTGGTTTGGCTTGTCCATGGCTTTGTGGAGCCTATTCCTATCCCTCTGGATTCTTCAAATTCCCATCTTCCAACACTAGCACCTGCTCCTCTGTTCCTGCCTTTATCATACATTGCAGTAATTCTCAATTTACACCTCAAAGCCCGGGCCCGGGGTCTTCGCAAAATGACCTCAAATTTGTGCTTCACGATGCTCTGGACGCGTTTGGTGTCAATACAACCCATGCCCGTATATCAAGAGAAGGTTTCTGCTCTCAAATTCGAAAACTATCGGATATAGAGAGAGGAACCAGTATTTGCATAAACAGAGGGGTTGATTTAGGGCAAGCCGCTCTTCATATAGCGGCGGAAGATGATTCCCTCATTTCACACTCCTCTGTCCCACTCCCTGTCGCTGATTTCCTTGAGAGATTGGATCATCTTTCTATGGAATACTGCTCGCACTATAGCTCTTCCTTTAAATCCTCTCCAGAACACTTTATTCACTGTTTAGAAACGTACTTGTACGTTAATAAGGTAATTTTGGAGTATTTTGATTTTATCATGTTTCTTCTTCGCTATATCTGTTTGGAAATGAATGCTTACTCAATGATCATTTATATACTGCTTGAATGCCTTATGTTGTATCTTAGATATGAAGAAAGAAGCTTACATACTCCATGTACCTTTAAAAAGTTGGAATTTAAAGCGTTAATAAGTTAATTTAGGGGATTTTAAGGACAGGAGAATGAGATGTGTTATTGCACATTGAATGTTCAGTTCAAGTGGGAGAATAGATATTTTTTTAGCCTAAGGAGCATTCTTACCCATAAAAAGGCATTCTTTCCGTAGGATGTATCGTTGTTAAATTCCTGACGGATGTTGTGGTTCTCGTTGTTGGCTGATGTCATGCAATTGAAAGCTTTTTCCCAATCGTGTGGAAAGTTTCTAATTCAAAATTGTGCACCCTATTGCCATGAATGGCCATAATTACTGAGTTACACTGAACTTGTTTTTTACAATAGTGATTTGAGAGCCGATACGTTGCTTGATATTTCTTTAAGAGAGGTGAGGGAGTAAGAAGTTGGTTGGAGTTCCAAGCAATTTTCAATTTAAATTGATTGCTATCAATTGTGATCTTTGGCCTTGAGGTTTAGCTGGTTGAATTCGATACTTAGGTTCCCTTTTCACCCTTTCCCATTATTACAAAAGCTGGAAAGGTGGATCATTTGTGAAATACTTAAAAAAGATGGCTTTCCTAGGGAATTACCTTCTCTGCCTACCCTTTGCTTTCAGTCAGTGGGAAGGGAACATACCCCATTACTAGAAGACATACATAGTGAAATAAATACAACTTGGCAGAGGGAAAGAATGGAATTATCACGAAGAATTGGAAAATTTTGATTTTTTTTTCATTTTACTTGAAAAAGGGCATGCAGATGAATCCTACAGGGATCAGATACACAACCTGTTCCACCATGCATCTAAATACAACTGCAAAATGGTTACACGCTGAAGAAGTTCCATTTTCATGACTGAGGCTGACAGGTATTATTGGATCTGACTGCAGCACAATATTTCATGAGGGGAACATGTATTTGATGGCATATTTAATTGTGTTAATGCGAAACCCCGTTCGTATTCAACTATAAATTGTATCTGCTTGTATGTTTTTCCTTAATTTGTGAGTAGGAGGTACTATTTGGTTGTTTTAAGTTTATGGCCGGTCTTATTTCCTTGTATGATCGAAATTATCTTCAAAAATCCTGACATTTCAATTCACAGGGTTTCCGAAGGACTGGTGAGAGGAATCAATCAGAGCCCCGGGCTCTTTATCTTCACCCAGTGTGCCCCTTTCTCTATCTGTTTATCGTGGCTACAAACTATAGCCTTCATGTTAAACCAACATTTTTGCTTAACTTCAGGTTTTAACACATCGCTTCGGTTCTGCTTCACTACTTTCCCTTATATACTCAGAGATATTGAAGATGCTTCGCCTGTGGGGCCTTTTAAGTTTTGATATTGAGGTTTTTTTCCCTCATGATTCTTTTAGCTCTCCTCGAGGCTACTGCAAACAAAAAATGAAAGAGTCTGATCAATCACATGTCATGACTACGCAGTCGTTGCTAGTGGAGGTAAATTTTGCTGTGAGAGTGATCGAATCTATTTCCATCTGATTTTCTTTCATTGACTTATCATATATTAAATGGGTGTTCTAATGTATTCTTTCGATAAGTGTTCTGCATTCCATTCTTATTAGATTCTCTGAAAGTTTGGAAAGTTATGGAGAAATATCTAGGAATGCTCCCTGAAATTATAGAGGACCATAAATAGTTCATTGTCTAAGAATGCTCCCTGACGACATCTAAGAGACCAGAACATTTAGAGTCTTCAAAATTCTCCTTCCCGTTTTAGAAATGCTGCCTCTTTACTCTTAGTTCAGTTCAAGTTGTCATCGCTGACACTGTCTTTTGGTAATGTCTTTTAAGCTAAAGTCAGGTTCATTTCAAGTCCCAATAATTTGTAACCTTTTATATGAGAGAGGAGAAGTTACAAAGCTGTTTTTTTTCTAATTTACTTCAGTCAACATTTCTTTAGAGATGGCTAATTTTTCCATATATAAATTCTACAACTTTACTAATTAGTTATTTGACCAGAGTGTGTAACTGATTGAAAGAGGTAAATATCACTTTCACTGTATCATACCCTTATTAGCTGGGTGTTTTTTGGTTGCTTGGCTTTTATGCTGTTGGCACCTTTTGTGCCAAGGCTGGGCCCCATTTGGGACAGTACTGATCTAATTTGCTTATGAAAGAGGTATACTGCAACTGCACTGATTTGTTCCGTTTCCAGAATCTGAGAGGATATTCTGAAGAGAAACCTGCTAAAGCTAATTTTGAACGATACAACTAATCGGCTAATCCTCTTTATTAAATTGTGCCTTCATTACATTTACACTTTCTTGCTGTCATATCTTGAAAAGCTCTCCATCTGACTGTCAATTGAATTAACTAGAAGTCTGATGTGCTTTTTTGCTAAATTCTGCTTATAGTTGCTCCATGTCTGTATATAGATGCTAAAAGATTTGAAGGATGCTTTCTGGCCATTTCAGCTCGATCATACTAAGAGTCCTTTCCTGAGAGCAGCACGAGCTGCCAACTGTTCTGAAAGTGCCAATGATTCTGAAGAAAGGTCTTTAAGCAGTTGCACAATCCATCCTTAAATTCCCTTTCACTAGATAATACTACACTTGTTTACCCATCCTTTTTATATCATCTGCATGCAGTGCATTCGAGCTTGCATCTATCAAGGCTTCTCTGCATAGGCTACAGCGTGGTGTTTGGACCAGTGTTCGATTTGGGGACATGAGACGTGCACTCTCTGGTATGTGCATTTGACCGTTTCCCTCTTTCGCATGAAAAAGTACTGTTATACTTTTATGAATTGTTGTTGGTTCCATTAAGGCATAATCATTATATATCTCAATTTTGATAAGTAATTATTGTACATTTCATGACATTCCAATAAACCCGGCTGTTCATTTTATGTCTGAAAAGTTCAATAGACAGTGATTGTTTGGACAGAAATGAAGGGTCAGAATTTTGTAAGAACATGTTACTTGATAAATAAGGCAGCTTAGGATGCTCTGTCAAAAGTTACTGATGGAATATCAGTTTTTTGTTATAATGTTGGTTTCTAGTTGATGAGAAATAATTGGATACAGTAGTTAGGAGTAGGTTCAAATTTACTCAATGTGCCATATTTGGCTGCACAATATCAAGAGAAGGGTAGGATTATCTTGATTACACCTTTTTTCCCCTTTTTTTTTCCTTATTTTCATTACATCTTAAAAGAGAGTCTATTGTTTGGAGACTAGGTTGCACCTGAAGCGAGAGAAATTGATTCTGTTTAATGAGTGATGTTCCTGGGGGAACTTCGGTTAATTAGTATTTAAATCCTACCTGACTTAGAAGATTAATCACTGGGTTCCTTATAATAATAACTTTAAAAAAAGAAGAATCAATGACTAGGTTAGATAAGCACTTAAGAGGTTTTTGACAAGTAAAAAAATCCAGATGAACTTTCATCTGTGGAACTTCCCCTGCATGAAGAGACCCACACTTTTATTTGCTTGTTTCTTCCAAAAGGTGTTGGAGGGTACAAAGGCATCGTTTTTTAGAAACCATCATGGTCTAAAAGTAGGCTTGAAGACAGTTATTTCTGACTCAACTCGTACATTTCATAGGTTTTTCAAAAATAATCTTCAGGGACGTTTAGATTCCTCCGTGCAGTGATATAAAACGCTTCCCAATCTGGCTATGTCAATTCAGTTTGAAGTTTATGTGCTTTTCTTCTGATATGATTCCCAGAGGAATTTTATTACTAAGTTGACTTGCTGTTGTAGCCTTACAATTTGTCTGGTCTATCTTTGCCTGTTATGATCATTAATTCTCTTGGCAGCATGTGAACATCTTATCCTCTTGCAAACCGATCCTACGGAATTGAGGGATTATGGTGTTCTGCTCTACCATTGTGGATTTTATAAGGAAGCACTCCAGTACCTTACATTATACCAGGATAGGAAGGTAGTTCTCATCCTGCTTAGTGACTCTTAGTTTGGTTTCGTTTTCATTTCTATCATTGACTAACTTTGCAGATTTTCTTTGTACAGAAGGAATCGTTTGGTTTGATTGATAATGTGGAGGAGGAAGAAGCTTTGGAGAAATTAATTATTCGTCTTAACCTCATCTTGATGGAGGAAGGTTGGTCTCCCCCCTCAGATAACAGAAGTTTCCTGCGCAACAACTCTGAGCCCTGGTAATGCTTGTAACATCGCGTTCAATAAGCAGGTTCAGGTGTACTTGAAGTGTGGACAAGTGAAACTTGTGGAATCTGCCCTCCTAAGGATCTAAAGATAGAACCGATCCTCTGTAGAAAACTGTATACCAGGAAGTAATGTATCTTAGAATAGGTTAAATGTAACAAAAAATCCATAGTCATGTGTATATAGGAGAATGCTATTGTCCCTTAACCCATAAAAATACGCTTAACAATTCCAATTAACCAATGAAAGAATAGAATGCTTCATGGAATAATATGTTTGTGATGACTGATGACAAATATCAAGCAGAAACTTTTCTTGCTAATAAGCTTCTCTAGTAAGCTCTTCTTGTTAATTGTTCCGACTTACAGAGCATAAACAGGGTATACCAGAATCCTCATCTGTTATCAATTGTTTCTTTTAAGTCTAGCTTCATTAATATAAGTATTTTTAATTCGTTATTACTGAGTTTAAGGGCATGATTGTGTTGCTTATGATAGTCTCTGTTATGATGCTGTTTCATGAACTTGCTTTTCCATCCTTATTTTTGTAAAAGAATGGCTGAGATATTCTCCTACTGAGAAGGAAAAAAGGAACTCAAATAGCCTTCTAGTTGCAGCTAATTCTTTGCTAAATCAGCACTTTGGTAAACTTTTATTTGTTTTCAAATTCAATTAAGAGAATCGTGCAAAGTTTCTCTGACAGGATCACACCTTATAACAACTTGTGCATTTTGTCGTTAAATTTGTGATGGCATAGTAGAAGGAACGGAGGAATTAACAGTTAATCCACCCGTTCAAACATTACATATGAGTAGGGGTGTACAAAGGTCGGGTTGGCTTGAATTTTTGCATTACCAAGATTTTTAAATCTATAAACAAAATGAAACCAACAAAGTCGGGGTTTTTCAATCTCGGTTTTTCTCTGGTTTTTCGATTTTTTCGGGTTTTCAGTTTTTCCCAAACATGTAACTTGTGCTCCAAATATTTCTTTAATCTTAGTACGATACAATTATATAATATATTTTTCAAGAAAATAATACAATAATATGAGATAAGTCATAGTATTATACTAAAGTATTTAATAACAAAGATAATAAAATTGCATAAATCAAACTAAACACTAAAGAAAAAGATAAACTAAGTTATACATTTTGATTATAAATTAATGTAAAACTAAAAAACTAGATATCCAACACTATCGTCATTCCTAGCGTTGAATTGAATTTTTTTTGTTACCATTAGTATTGATTTTAACTTTGTTTGAGTTACTACATTTATGGGCTATAAAATTTATTTATCATCCGAGAGTGTCAAGTCCAATCTTGAAATAATACGTTAAAAAATAAAATTATGAAATTTTTTAAGAAATATTTATAAATTACATTACAATAAATATTTGTAAGTATAAAATATTTTTAAAAATTGTATAAATGTACTATCGGATTTGTTTGGTTTCGGTTTGATTTTCTTTAGTTAATTAACTTAAACCAAATCAATTATGGTCGGACTTTTGTTTATTCAATACCAAATCACAGTCGAGATTTTTTTCCGATTTGACTTGGATTATCGGTTTTCTTTGTATACCCCTACATATGGGCGAGGCAATAAATGGTACTTTTACAAACATTTGTTTGTATAAGTGAAGAAAACACCATTGGAGAAAAAGATTTCAGCTTTTGTAAAAGAGTTAATACCTTAAAACCCCCTTAAACTATAATATTTTTGTCAATTTCCTACTTAAACTATTCGGTATCCCTAAAAAACCCCTGAACTATATTGTCCTTCGTATTAAAAACCCCTCGTCGCTGACCTGGCACAACGTATGCAAACACTCGCTTGGGAGCGCGTGACAGCTGAAAAAAGCCATCAAAATGGCTCATATGACATAAAATAATGGTTAATTAGCCTTACCCTCTTTCACATTTATTTTTTTAATAAATATTCTCCATATTTCAGTTATATCCACATTTCTTCCTCGTTTTTTTAAACCATTTTCCATTTTTGTTTTACATTTCTTCTTTATTTTTCATCTTTTTCTTCATTTTTAACCTTTTTTCTTCAGTTCGCCATATGGGCTTCCTCTGAAAAAATTTCTCCCTCTCTTGTTTCCTCTAAAATGATTTATTCTCTTTCTTGTTTTAGTCTTCTTTCATTTCTTACACATATTATTGAAAGAATACCAATCTAAATATTCTTATTAAACTAAACACCATGTAGAGAATAAAGTTGAATATCTTGAACCTTCTTATGTAATATGGAATAAGAGAACATAATTTTATTTGTTGGCCAATTGATTTTTATTTGTGAAATTTTATTTTGTGTAATTTTTTTTATGTAATATAAGATGATTTTTAAGAAACACTATATGCCTTTATTTATATTGTTCTGTGCTACAAAGTGAATATAAATGACTTATTCAATTGGAGTTTAGCATAAAGCACAATCAAAATTAAACCTAAAATTAACACAGTGCATTAAATATTATTTTGGACAAAACTCATAAATTAATCAATTATCCCAGAGTAATACAACATGAGTAAACTGTATAAAAAACTCTTTAAAAACCATAAGTTAATATAGTTAGACAGACGCAACATGGGATTTTAATATATAGGGGAATATAGTTCAGGGGGATTTTGGGGACACCATATAGTTTAAGTAGGTAACTAACAAATTGGCGAAAGTTTAGGCGGGTTTTAGGCTGAGTTGAATAGCCACGTGTAGTGCTATATGGCACATTTTTTAAATAATTAGGAGAGTGTACTACGCACACCTCTAAGAATGCAATGAGAGATTTTTAATATGAAGAGCAATACAATTCAAGGAGGTTTTGGAGACACTGAATAGTTTAAGTAGAAAATTAACAAAAATATGAAAGTTTAGGGGAATTTTAGGGTATTAACTCTTTGTAAAAATCAATAAACAACTCTAAAGTTGTATACGTATTTAGTTGAGAAAAGTTCTCAAAGTGTGAAAAAGAAAAAAAATTCGAAGAAGGTTTTCAATATGTTTTTCAAACAAATGTCAGAGACAAGTGAGACAACCAAGGCTCCGCTTCAAGACTTACAAAATTTGTACTCCTGTTTTTAAATTTTTCTTTGGTCTTCGCAAGATTTAATCAACTCTTTTTCTTTAAGAAAAAAATAAAATAATTTGTAAACATATCACATAGTATCAAGTTTCTCCACACTCTGAACTGGCTACAGTGAAATTCACGAAAAGCATGCCTGTTGCTGCAGCTGCTGCGGCGGCAACAGCTGTGGTTGCCTCTTCAATGGTAGTTGCTGCAGCAAAGAGCACATATGGTTCAAAAGCTGATCTCCCTGTTGCAGCTAGAAAATAGAAAATTAAAAAATTTAAAAAAGTAAAAATAAAAAAAAGCGTAATTATTTTTTTGAAATACAAAAAAAAAGTAAAAAAAAAATAATTG